CCACCCGGCTGCATCTCAGCTAAATCCCAGCTCCCAGTCACCCTCAGCTGGCCAATTTGCAAAGTCGGAAGCTTCCCGTTTTTGAAAAGAGGCTGGCTGAGCACGGCTGGGAGCTGGGATGCAGCCGGGTGGTGGCAAATGCAGTGTTTTTGGTGTGATAATTCCCAGCCACATCCCAAAATAGACTTCAAAGTGGCAGGGGTGTTGTTTTTTTCAGTAATGTGATAAGGTCCTGGTCTACCTTTCCTTTTGTCACCTACATTCATTTCAGTTCCAGTTACAGCATGACTAATCTCTGTTCCATGATTCGCCCTCAGTTTCAATGTTAGCTGTTACTGGCCTTCTGAGAAAATTACATTGCTCAGGAAAGCTTAACTTTTGACTGGTGCTACAGATTGCAGCCCTGATGCAGTCCTGCAGAGCAGAGGCTGGAACTATGGACCTTTGGATATTGTTGCCTGCAGCTTTCAGCATTCCTCACCACTAGCTAGACTAGCTAAAGTTAATGGAAGCTGCAGGTAAGCAGCTTCTGGAAAACTGCATGATTCCTGGCCTGGAGGTTGAAGATATTTTCAGTAATGTCCACATGATGTCAGCAAAATGTAGAGCATCCCTGAATAGCTTCTATTTTGAGTCTTTGGCGCAAAGCCTGGTGTGTCTTCTCCTCCATCCAAAAAAGATTAGAGAAATGATACCTGCCATTTAATATTGAAGTAGCTCTTAAATTCAACAGGTATACCTCAAACTTCTTTTAACAAAAAAAAATTCAATACTAGAAACATGGAAATAATGATTGATTCCTACAGCGCGCGCACACAAAAGAGCAGTTCAACATTATTCAGCAAACTTTTTATTCTAAACTAGCAACAAGGATGTGTGAAATGAAACAAATGGGTCATGTAAGCCCTGCATAAGTAAAAATAGGGTGCATCTTCACTATAGAAATGATGCAGTTTGACACCACTTTAAGTGCTGTAGCTCTAATCTGTTTGCCTGGGCAGACACACATAGGTACAGTAGGATGGGCTAGATTTGAAATCTCACTCCTTCCCAGCTCAAACCTTGCTTTTTGCATTGTCCACTGTAGACATGCTGCTACAATCCAAAGTCTGTGTTTTGCCAGCCCTCCTTCATCATCCTCCCCATGCTGATGTTGCTAAAATAAATTTCTTTCAGCACATGGAGGATGATGAAGGAGGGCTGGAAAAACACCAGCAGGCAAAGACCTTCCTATCAGAACCAGCTATCAGCCTTTAATCTGGTTGAAGTAAAATGATGTGTAGCAAATTTCTGTTTTAATATATAATATGTGTTTTTAATTCTTTTAAAATTAATGTTAATAATACATTTAATAATAATAATAATAATAATAATAATAATAATAATAATAATAATAATAACAACAATTTTTATTTATATACCGCCATTTGGCGAACCAGTCCGGGCGGTGAACATAGTAAAATACTACATACAGTAATACAGTCTAAAACACACCATTCCCCCCTCCCCCCTTAGAAGAGGGGGATATTCCAATTGGGTTGATTGTTCAATAGTGTTTAACCTTTGCACAATGAAATGTTTTAGCTATTTTGTTTTGATATATATTATAAACCACTTTGCGTACCGCTTTGAGAAAAAAGTGAGATATATCAAATAAACAAATATATAATAAATTCAATTTATGTAGCCATAATCTGAATATATCCATTGCACTAAGAGGCTTTAGTTCACATTCATTTGGACTTATTCTGAGTTCTCTGCCAATGTCACTAATTGTCAACTCATCCACTTTATTGCTCCCAGCTCCTTAGAGAACCAGAGGGCTGGTTTAGATGTGAGAGGTACACTCAGGAGCTAACATGTCCATTGCCCTGGTCATTTCACAACAGCAGAGATGAACTAGGGCCTGAATAAAATCACCTGTCAAGAAAACAGGAAAATCCCCAAGAACAGTCAGGAAACCATCTGGCTCCATCTGAATTTGTCTGTCACCCATGCTAAGGCTGAATCCTGCCAAGACTAAACCTGTCCAAGAAGTGATCTGCCCATGACAAATGAACAATAGAACGCTTGTCAATTCCCAGGTCACCATCATCCCATCCTATACAGAACAAAGTTTAGTGTGTGCCTAGCAGCATGAATGTGGCCAGATATTATTTGGGATAGACCCATGATTGTCATGACAGATATGTAAGTCCTGCACCACTCTTGACATGGTATGTTGAACTCACATAGCACCACAAGATGCCACCACCACCACTGTGATCACCCTGGCTAGCCCAGAAAGGGAGACTGTTGAGAGTACACCAACAGAATCCTTAATCTACCCCAACCAGCCATCTTCAAATATGCACATTCCAGCCCTGATCTCACCTCAGTTGTGTTAGAGAAAGAAACTGAATGCATATTGGTTTGGGAACTTACTTTATCACACCATGTCTCCATTGATGCCTCTGAGGCTGTCTGTGGCATTGGGTCTCTTTCACAGACTGTTCCTTAATCCTACCTCCCTGCCCAGTAAGCGTTACACAGCAAGTCATTCATTGTTGTTTTCTTTTGTTGTTTTCTCTTTTAAACTGATTTTAGCCATTATGGCATTGTGATTGGAGAGGGGGGAGAAAGTGAAACTTTGCAGAAAACCAATCTAGTTGGGCAAGTAGGGGAGAAGAGGGAATGGAGGAGACTGGAGACACTGAGACTATGGCCCTTTGCAGACTGCCAAAAATAGTGCAAATTGAGTCCATTTTAACTGCCCTGACTCAGTGCTAGGGAATCATGGAAACTGTAGTTTATTGTTGGACCAGAGCTCTCTGACAGAAAAGGCTCAATGTCTCAGAAAAAAAATACAGTTCCCATGATCCCCTAGCACTGCTCCAGGACAGTTAAAGTGGACTCAATTTGCACTATTTCTGGCAGTCTGCAAAGGCCCTATGTGACTGCCCAATGGCAGGTCTGCATTAGCATATGGCAGAGGTAATGGAATACACACAGGATTGGAAATCTATTTATGGGAAGTCCCCATAAACGAAGAAGGACACCTTAACCAGAAGCACAACAGCCATGCTTTGGAGGAAATATCATGTAATAGGTATTGCCAAATGCACTTTTTTCTGTCTTAATCACAGTTTAAAAGCAGTACATAGTAAAGTCCTAAGGGATAGGGCACCTGGTCAGTGGGATGAAATCCCATAGTCCACTGTTACTCCAACTCTCTGCCCTCTGGATTTTGCCTGCTGCTGCACAGAGAATTCCAGCAAACAAAGCTGAAAGAAATTATCCTCCCCACACTGCCACCAGGTCTCTTTGATATGTGCCAGCTCAATATGCTCATCCAGGATCAAGTCTTGGATGGCAGCTGTTTCATCATTCATCAACCTGGCATTAAGCAGCAGTGTTTTTAGTTGGGTGGGGCAGCTATTGTCATGACTATTCAGGCTATTTGGATTGGGAAACAGTTGGGAGACCACTATCGCTATCTGTTGTGAGCATAGCCCTAAAGTAGCACAGTTGTCTTCCATTTCCATATCTCCCTCTACATTGTATAACTGAAGGTTGCTCTTTGAGCATTATTATCTCACTTTCCCCCACCTTGGCAACATAGCCCTGCATCCCCTCCTATCCAACAGTTATTCCAAAAGCACAGTATGTACAAGGAAGCATCCTCCTCTTTTCTCTAAAGCAGCAGCAAGACAGCCCTTGTCTTCATGCCCCTCTGAAGTAGCCCTGCCATTTGATGGTGACCCCACCAGCATCAGGTCTGATCCCTCAGTAGGAGAGGATATCATAAAGTTTTAATTATCATCTTTAAAAAAAATTGACAGAAAGTTTGTTTTGATTTGTAGTTGTTAACTTACGTAGTCACCATCCAGATTTACACATTTCCCTCAGCGTTTCTCAACCCTCCAAATACTGTTATTGTAGAAGTTTGCAGATTGCATCTTAAACCACTCTTCCACTTCCTGAATGACATCATCTGTGTTGTCAAATTGGTGACTCAGCAACAGAGTTTTCATTTTTGGGAAAAGAAAAGGTCACTTGTTGAGGATGAAACTGACAAAATTTCATCAATATACCATAATAACTTCTCCATCTTACAGTTTAGTCACTTCTGGTGCAACCTGTAATTAAAATAAAGGACACAATGAGCTGATTTTCTCAGTGCCCTTAGGGACCAATGATGACACTCCCAAAATTTTATCAATATTCCATAATAACTTCCTGGTGATAATTATTACTTTATGATACCCCCTCATAGCCTCACTTATATCACCAATACCAGACAGCTGAGCCAGTGCAGCCAGGGAACCTGCTAGACAGTTTTGGATAGTCATCACTTACTCAGCTAGGCACACACTTCCTTATGATTAAGAACTCCCACAATGAAGGCAGCAGGGATGTTTCTAGGGGGTGCAGTGAGTACAAACCACACTGTGTGACACCTCAGAAGGGGGACTGTCTCCTGGTGCACTTGTGAGAGGTGACTGGCTTCCGGTTTGTACCGCTGCACTTCTCCATGGGTAGATTGAGATTCCTGGAGACTGAAGATCCTGAGATGGACCTGGACAACCTGCCAAGAGGCAGCAAGGAAGATGGCCAGGACACTGTCCACTTACCATAGCAAAACCCTGGAGTCCACTCCCATTGCCAAATCATGTCTGGAACCCTTCAGGAGT